TTCCTTTTCTAGCTTTATTGAGATATAATTGACATAGAACGTTGTGTAAACTTAAGGTGTCCAATGTTACGATTTGATGATACATGGGTATATTGGGAAATGTTCACCACACTAAAGTTAGTTGACACCTCCTTCACCCCATATAATTACCATTTTGATGTTGTTGTTATGGTAACAGTAAAGCTCTACCCTCTTAGTGACTTTCAAGTATACAATACAGTATCGTTAACTATAATCACCATTGCTGTACCTTAGATCCTCAGAACTTATTTATCTTCTAACTGCAAGTTTGTACCCTTTTTCCAGCATCTCCCCATGTCCCGACTCCTTAGTCACTGACAACCACTACTCCGCTCTCTGTTTCCATGAGTTTGATGTTTTTAGACTCCACATGGAAGCGAGAGCTTACAGTATTTCTTTTTCTGATTGATTTCAGTTAGCACCATGCCTCTAAGATTCATCCATGTTGTAAAAAATGACGTGATCTCCTTCTTTTTCAGAGCTGAATAATATTCCATTATATATACACGTCACAATTTCTTGACCCATTCACTCATCGGCGGACACTTAGGTTGTTTCCGTGTCTCAGCTACTGGGAATAACGTTGCAGTGAACATCGGGGGTGCTGATACTGCTTCGTGATAGTTATTTCCTTTGGATGTGTACCCAGGAGTGGGATTGCAGGATCACATAGTAGTTCTAGTTTTAATATTTTGAAGACCCTCCATACTACTTTCCATGGTTTTTTCTCCTGAATGCATGTCAGAATCCTGGGAAGCATTTTTGTAAATAAAAATTTTTTACAAAGTTTATTGATGAGAGAGAGAGGAGAGAGAGAAACGATGTGAGAGAGAAATATCAATTGTTTGCCTCCCGCACCCACCCTGACTGGGGATTGAACTTGCAACCTAGGTATGTGCCCTGACCAGAAATCACAGCCCCAGCCTTCTGGTGTCTAGGACGATGCTCCCACCAACTGAGCCGCACCGGCCAGGGCTCTGGGGGGCTTTTTAAAGACATGATTGCCAAACCTTCTCTGCAGAGATTTGGATTTAATTGGTCAGAGGTACGGCCTGGGGTGCTTTTTGTTGTCATTTGTTTTGTTTTTTGGCTCCAGATGATTTTATCATGCAGCCAGAGCCATGAGCCGTGTTCCCGCTGACCCATGGTGCACTAGCTGGATAAATCCCGTGCTTTCCTCCCTCGATGTCCTTGTTCGCTCCATCCCTTTGCCTGGAACACCGCCCTGTCCTCCTCCTTGCCTTTCAAATCCTCCTCGTCCTTTAAGAATCCCATGAGGCCCAACTCATTTGCAGCTCCCCCACGAAGTCCCCTGATTCCCCCATCGAACGTGATTTCCCCCTTCTTTGGACATTCTGGACTTCCTTCTGACACCGCGGGCTACTTTGTATCACCGTTATTTTTAAAATTTATTTTTTTAATAAGATTGTCAGTTCTTTGACAACCTGTAGTGAATGAATCTTGCTCACCACTCCGCACCCTGCTCTGTGGGACACGTACTCAGTAGGGGCTCAGTGAATACTTTTTAAATGTTAACTGTGTTCTAGCTTCTTCTTCACTTTGCATAACAGGCACTGCCTGTGCCTGGACCCCCTGCCCCAGATATCCCCATGGCTTGCTGTCACTTTGTTAGTGTGATATTGATAGTCACTTATTTATTTATTGCCCATCTCTTCTCCCTAGAATGTATGCCCCCCAAGAAGAGGCCTTTGTTTTGCTTGCTGTTGTGTCCACGGTGCCCAAGGCAGTGCCTGGCATATAGCACGTGCCCAGGAAATACTTCTTGAGTTTAATGAGTGAACTTTATGGACATTGATCTTATTTTGTGTAATCCTTGTCACGACCGCCAGCAGGCCAGGCGGGCACAGTCAAGCCTGTCTTCAGGTACTTCTCAGGCTCTTACTAGAGTTCTGAGCAGGAATGCGGCAGCTCAGTTGCCACAGGAACGTGGGGCTTGCTTCTCCTCTTCTCACACCTCGTCCTTTGCTTCACTGCTGTAGGCCTCATGTGCTGATCTCATCCCACCTGCAATGTGCGAGAGTTCCTATTCCCTGCAGACGGCACTCCTTGGCTGCCCCTTGGGACCGGACACACCAGCCATTGGCCCGTCCTTTGGGAGGAAGTGAGCCCGGGGCGGTGTGGGCGGGCGATTCCGGCCTCCTGGTGGGGTGTCAGCCTCTTGGCCTCTCAGACCCTTTCCACTATGGGGAGGGTGCAGTTGGGGGAGGCCCGGCGTGGGGCCCTCGCAAGCTGGGACCTGGTTTGTGTCAGTCTGAGGGGGATCCCTGCTATCTCCCCTCCCCAGACCAGACTGTAAGCCTTTTGAGGACCTAGGCTATTTCTCCCCCTCTCCTAGGGGTTGCGTGGTTTACCTGGAAGACAGAAGATGGGGGCTGCGCCTGAGGTGAATAAACTAAACTCTTTGGCTCGTTTCTTTACCTATAAAATGAGAACTGGATGACATAACCTCTAAAATGGCTTCTTTCTATCCCTCCCCCGACAAGCAACAGGTCATGGTAGGTGCTCAGAAGTGTTCCCTTGTTGAATGCCCTAAGGCCTTGACTTCATCCCTCTTCATGTCAGGCGAATGTGTGTGGGTGTGTGGGCATACCCCTGGGGGCATGTATGTGCACATCAGTATAGACATGCACACACATGCACACATACACACCCTACCTGGTACCTCTCACTCTGTCTTGGACTTCTGAGTCAAACAACTCACCAGCTGAACTGTTAGCGCCCCAGGAGACATTTTTGTAAACACCAAAGGAGAATGCTCTAGATCCTAACAGAAGTAATATCAGTTTTATGCCTTCGGAGCTCGGAGACTATGGGACCCTAGGGGTCTCATTTTCCTTGGAAAGTCGGTGACCTTGAGTCATTTCTATTAACTCGAAGTTGTGATTTTTATTTCCCACTGATGCCCTTCTTAATGTCTGAGTCAGCATTTCATTTCCTTGAATTGCCTGAGAAGTGAGAGGGAGCCTCCTTTCCCTGACATCCTGCGTGCCAGTGGAGGTGGGTGCTGACCGCGGGCTGGGGTCGGATCTGAAAGGTTAAGCCTCTTCCCTGGGCGGGTGGATGCTCTGGTTCCAATCAACAAACGCGTAATGAGGGTTTACCCCCCTGCTATGGGGAATCCTAAGCAAGAGGACACCAGCTTCAAACTTCATATTAATTTGTTTGGAGAGGCCTAGCCTAATTTCATAAAAGATAACAGGATGAAACAATGTAGGAATCACCCCAAGATGGTCAAACGAAGTTTTCCCACAATGACTCAGAGAATGAAGAAAAGTGTGCATAAAAGGTCCCAGATCTAGGGCCGTCATATCCAGGGAGCAGACGCGCTGGCGCAGGCGGTGTCTCCGCGTAGCTACTCACCTGGAGTTTGTGAGCTGGAGGGCAAGGCCCGCAAAGTTTTCTGTTCGGGCGGGGGGGGGAGCGGGGAGCGGGGGCGGAGAGGGGGACAGAACTGCTCATGACGTGGAGGCATAATAAAGTACAAATTAGCAATATCAACAAAAGCTCTCTTTAACCTTCATGCTCAATTATCTTCCCTGAAACTAACAGGTAGGTGCTTACAGAAGAATGCCTGAGAAGGGGCTATTACTGCCTAGACGGGTTGAGCTGCAAGGATGGGCCTCCTAGGGGGTGGGGTGAAGCACCACCCGGATTCTTCGGTCGGTCAGTATAGATGATGCGCACTTGTTACTGCCCACCATGGTTTCCCAAGGTTAGGAAGATAGTGTCGCCAGTTCAGGCTTTTAGTACCATGTCTACTGAGTGCACTGTAACAGGATGCAAGCATTCAAACTTGCCAATTCCATGCCGCAAGACCTTTAAGCCACAGAGCGTCTTCAGAGTTAGATGCCTGGCACACAGCAGGTACTTCACAAACATTAGCTCCCTTCTTCGTTTGCCTCATTTCCCTGGGGAACTCTTAACATCCAAACGCTAATCCTTTGACATTTTCTCCACTTCCCCAAAGCGCTGCTTTCTCTAAAAAGGCCTGGACAAAGGCGCTTCTCTCCAGCACCACTTGAATTCGGTTCAACAGGCGCCTTCTGAAGGCCTACTACGTGGGGAGTGTGGGGGCCTCCTGGGGTCGGGAGCGTCTTGTCCCAATGACCCGGACAGGAGGCAGAACCTCTAGACGAGAGAAAGGATGGGTAGGGCTGCGTGCGCGCTTTTCTCACCGCCTCTACTGCCAGCCAGGCTTCTGGGAAGCGAGCCGACCTTTCCTCGGCTTTGTCCCCTCTGCAGCCCCGAAGACGGTCCTATAAACGCAGGCGCCCCGCTCACACCTGCTGCCCCGCACACAATCGAGCAGAGCGAAGCCAGGCGCCGGGGGAGGAGCGAGAGGCCCGCCGCGCTCCGGGCTGGCCAGGTTTCCGGCTCTGACCCCTCTGCCGGGCCTCCTTCCCTCTCTCCGGGCGCCCCCGAGGGCGGAACGCACGGGGCCACCAGGCGGCGGGACCCAGTGTGGGGTGCAGACCGGTGTGGGGTGCGGGCCGTGGCGGCGCCGGCTCCCGGCCGGGCCCAGGCCTCCTGCGTCCCCCCGCGCCCCCTCCCGGGAGGCGGGTCCTGGGGGAGGACCCTGCCTGGCCCCGCGCGGCGCAGCCCCGGCGCATCCAAGCCCAGCGCCCGCCGCCCGGCCACCCCGCAGGCAGGCGCCCGGCCGGCCGGGAGGTGGTGCTCGCCTCCCCGCGCCCGGGCCCGCGCGTTGCCGGGCAGCGATTCCGAGGCTCTGAAGGGGGCGGAGCGGCGAGGCCGGCGTGCGGCTGGCGGCCCCTGTCCGCGGTTCCGGCCCCCGGCCCGCCCCCGCCTCGCCGGCCTCCCTCCGCGCCGGTGCGCGGCGCCCCGTCCCAGCCGCAGCCGCCGCGGCCGCCTCTCCCGGGTCTGAGAGCGCCGAGCCGCGAGGCCGGGCCGGGCGCCGGCCGGGACTGCCGGGGGCGCGGCGCCGACGCCGAGGCGCGGCCATGGACGGGAAGACCCGCGCCGGGGTCGCGCTGGTCCCGGGGCCGAGCGGCCACGGGCCTTCCGCCCGCCGCTGCCGCCGCCCGGGGCTGCTGCTCCCCGGCCTCTGGCTGCTGCTGCTGGCCCGGCCGGCCTCGTGCGCCCCAGGTAAGCACCGCGGAGACCCTCGGGTTGCCGCCGAGACCCTGCCTTCCTTTATTGCTGCTATTTTCAAAATCCTGCTTTCCCCGCCCATACTCTTTTATTCTCCACCGCTCCCTCGCTCTGCTTTCTTGAGATGCTTTTCCATTCTTCTTGGGCCCAGCAAATAAAGGCACGGAGGAAATAAAAGGAGAAAGCTAGCGGATTGTGGCCAATCTTGCTAATCATCTGCAAAGCTGCCCTGTTATCCTCGGAGCCCGAGGCGGGTCTGGTGGCTTCCCCTCCGAATGTGCCTTTATTTTCCCTGCAAAATGCAGGCAGTGGACTTGTATTTGTGCATGGCTATATCATTGTGGTATATTAAATGTTTAGGAATAATACTTTATTGTCGGGCCGAAGCGGGGACATTCGGGGTGTGTGTGTGCTTTGAAACGGTGTTGCATTACTCGGAGTATCCCTGCGGCCCCCAGATGCAGGAAGGCTGGCCGTGTCCCCCAGTGCACCAGGACACAAAGAACATTCAAAGAATATCTCTTGGAAAGCGCCCTGGCCACGGGTCTTTCCAGGGAACTACCTATTGCTTGTACTTCTGCAAAGGCATTAGTACAATAGAGTGTGCAAATATTGTGATTCTTAAGTGTCAAGGCATGAAAGGAGTCAGGGTTGTTTTTATAATAGATGCAGTTTACTGACGGGTCGTCAGCATGGAATTAAGAGCATGATTTATGAAGAAGCACGTAGGCGGGTTTTGTTGTTCAGGAAATGATTTAATTCATATTGCTTCTCTGAAATGTTTATTTGTCCACCCTGAGCATACACACAGGATGGTCTGGAAACCATCTCTGGGCTGACAGGCTGTAAGCCAGTGGTGGCCCCCAGCGTGCACACACTTGACCACTTTGGGGGCAGAAAAGGAACGGACAACTCAGGGTGGACACAGGAGCAAAGACAGAAAGCCATGGAAGCTACTCCAAATCCTCCCTTCTCTTGGGAGCAGGGCCAAAGGACTGCCAAGTGGCTTTGGAAGGAAGTGGAGCACATTTGAAGGTGTCCCTTGGACCTCACTGTTGGAATTATAACCAGGGCCGTGTGGGGGCTGGTCCAGTAGAAGCCCAGGGGGAGACTTCAGAAATCGTAGAATGGAACCACTCCTTTTGCTGAAGAGGAAACTAACCGAGAAAAGTGACTTGCTCAAGGTCACAGGCTAGTTTGTGCAGTTACCGTTTTTCAGTTCTCCCCGCTGCCCTGACCCGTAGACATGCACATACGTGAGGGCCCCCCAAAGCTTCCCCACAGCTGGGGGGACCCCTGCCTCAGAAGGACACATCAGAGCTGGGGCTGCAAAATGGGCCCCTTCCCAGGAGAAATCGAGAGCACAAGCAACTTTGCCTAATGTAGCGCCTCAGGGCTCGGTTCTGCTCCTTGCCTGTGGCAACCCTGTGTGTCCAGAGAAGAGAGGAGGCCCTGGGCTTTCTGTGAGAAGAGATCATTGTGAAGGCTGCCCTTGGCTTTAGGTGACAAAGAACGCCCACCTGATACTGATGTAGTCATCAGCTGAGGGCCAGGCAAACTAATCATTTCCCTTTACTGACTGCTGCATGTGTGCACAGCGCTACATTTTATATACAAGACCCAGTCTCCTTGTGGGTTAGGCATCGCTGCTCCCATTTTATAGATGAGGAAACTAATGCTGCAGGAGTTTAGGTTAGTTTGACTCCAAGCTCTTTGCACTTAACCTCTGTACAGCTTCCCCGTGCGAATGTTGCCATCCTGGATATATTGCAGAGGTGGCGAAAGTAAGTAATTCTTTTGATAAATCTCATATCAGTAGGGAAGCTGTTGGTTCTGTCCTTCCATAACTTTATCTTCTTTAGAAATCTGTTCCCGTTTTGCCTCAACCCACAATACAAATACAGGCAGACCCTGTTTGATTGCACGTGGCTTTATTGTGCTTCACAGGTGTTGCATTTTTTTTTTTTTTTTTTTTTTACAAATTGAAGGTAAGGCCCTCCACCAGCCAAAAGATTACGACTGCCTTTATTATGGTGGCCTGAAGGCGACCAAGGCCTCAGTATCTCCAAGGTCTACCTGAATTCCACCTGGAGATATGAAACGAATTATATGCCCACTCTAGAGCTGACATCGCAGAAGCAGAGACCTCATCCTTTCATTGCTGTGTGCGTTGGCCTCCTCGGGTTCACGCAGCTGCGTCTAGGCTGGGTGTAGATTAGGAAGCAGCTGTCTTCAAGAATCCAATTGGAAACACAAAGCTGCGCACAAGCAAGCGCAGAACCCTGCGTGGACTGTTGCCGGCCGGGAAGACAGTGAGTTGAAAGTGTTCTAGGGAAGACCTGTCAAAGGCCCCTGCTCTACTTCGTGGTGGCTGTGAGGAGGGTGTTGGTGAAGGGTGGCTTCCTGATGCATGGCGCCTGGTGTTTGATCTGGGAAGAGGTTGCGTTTCGGTTGTTTGTCCTTGGTCTACTGTCTGTGCCACTCAGACCCTCTGGCTCCCTGTCCGGAATGTTGTATTTTCACCCTCAGAGCGGGGATGGGGGAGGCTTTGCTGGATGCTGACATGGAGGTTCTCTCTAAAGAGTAAGTGGTATTAGTCAGGACATGGTGTGTCTGAAACCTGTTTTGGGTTTCTAAGTTAGATACCAGGCCCTGCGGTGGTCCTCCGAAAACTACCTGCCCCTTCAGGAGGTTTCTCTTTCCTTGTTAAACTTCTGTTAAATGGAGTCCACTCTCAGACTTTATTTAAATTTCTATGATTTATCGATTTCTTGTCTATTTCTATTTCATTCAGCATTTTGAACGTGCCCATTTTTGTTTAAACATTTGCAAGTGTGGTCTTGACTGTCCACTGTCATGGAAACAATTTGTAATACTTAGGACTTGCTTTGAAATGTTGTGCTTTTAGTAAAAGGAGATCTTACACCCACGATGTAAAAGGAAAGAATTGTGTCCATTTCTTCATCGTGTTCAGGGATGAATATTTGTCAAAATAATAGTTATCATGGAACTGAGAACTTTGCAAATAATTTGGAAAGTAGAGAAAATAAGCACCCGTACTCCCGCAACCCAGAGATAACACTGTAAATAGTTTTTTCTTCGTTGACATTAAAAAGAAATGAAAATTCAATCACATGCACGGTTGTATTAACTTTTTTCCACTCAGTATTTAACTTGAGCATTTCCCTATTGTTTGGAAACACAGTTTTTCATCCTAGTAGTAACTTAACTATTTCTTTATTATTTCCAGCTTTTATGGCTATTATAAATAATGCTATGATGAATAGTTTTGTAGGTAAGGCTTTGCCTAAGCCTTTTGTCTAAAAGGCTTTGTATGTGGGTTGTTTAAAAAAAAAAAAAAATTTCTAGAAGGGAAATTACAGTGTAACTTAAATCTAAGGCCCACCAGGCTGGATCTTGGCATGTTTTGGTCAGTATGGTAGGTGCCTAGTAGTGGTTATTAGTAAGTGGTTATTGATGGAATCAACTTTTTATATGAAGCTGTAATGCTGAAATAAACCCTAGCACTTTCTGTGGTAGCCTGATTCACAGCATCATCACTATCATTGGATGTTATTAATGCTTTTAAAATCCATGTTAAGTAAAATTTTAATACATTGCTTTACTTTTGAGTTGAATATTTGTTTATTTTGTATTTGTAGTCCATGAATATTTCTTTTTTGCTCATGTATCTGTTGTGGTATGTATATTTAAATCTTTCTTTTTATGTCATGGATAGCAAACTTTTTTTTCCTCCTATGTGTTACATTTTCCCCTTCCAATGGAGTTTTTAAAAACATTTATATAATTTTGAAATTCAGAAGTTTTTAATTATTTTGATTAGCCAAATTAGCTGTTTTGTTTTTCTTTCTGTAGTTTTTTTCATTGCATTTATACTTACGGCAGGTTAAGTTTTTATCTTACTTGATGTGCTCTTTCATTCTTAGCCATTTTGAGGTGAATATTTGTTGTGCTTTTAAAGTGGTTTAGTATCCTATAAACAAAGACCAAGATAAATGTTTCAAAAGTGTGATCCCTTGACCTCCTGCATCATCAGCTTGGGGATGGGGGTGTCGCTTGTTAAGAATTTAGATTTCTGGGGCTAACCCTTGACCCACATTAGAATTTTTGCTGGGGGTGCCTGGGAATCTTCATTTTTAACACGTTCACGGCTGATTTGAAGGCACTTTAAACTTTGGAACCGCTGCTCCAGGTACTGTGAATCCAGTGACTGAAAATTTAATAGCATCTTAGGGGTATGCCACTTAATATCTTGCAATTCTCTTTCCATTGTTAGAACAGTCGATTTAAAGTAGTGACATTGAACCATTTATTTTCGTTATATCTTGTTTGCTTGGTTTTCTTTGGGTTGGGAATCAAAGAACAGAGAAGACTTCATTTGAAATTCTCACTCCCGTTCCCTTGGGAACAGCTGTCACAGCCTTTGTCAGGAAATGCCTCACTTAAGCCCGAAAACAGAACCCAGCCAGGGTGTTGTTAAAAGTCACCGGGGACCTGGGAGCCTCAGGTTCTCTCTCCGTGCCCTGGGTGCTAGAGGCAGCTAATTACTGTAATTATCCTCACGCTAGCTTGATTTTCGCAGATAGGAAGATGCTGTTCTAACTGATCTAATGTGTTGCCAAGTGGTGACCACCCACCTTCCAGCTGCAGCTCCCAGGGGCAGGGTTTCTCTTTCACACGCCTCGGCAGCGTGGCGTGTTGGGAAGCACGTTGAACTGTGAGCTAGCCAACCTGGGTGTGCTCTTTGCTGCTGCTCACTGGCTTCGTGGACAAGTTACCTGGTCTTGGGTTTCTTCATCGGTGTAAGGAGGGGTCTCCGTGGTGGCCACCAAGTTCTCTTTCATCTCTTACGTTTCAAGCCCACGTGTTGGCTGCCTGGGAATGGACTTGTCATAGAGCATAACTGTCCTGTGTGGACTGAAGTTTGCGTGAGTGTTGCGATGTCACTGTCCTGGCCATGGTCTAGCCCAGGGACCAGCAGAAAGACCGTCCACTCTCACCGTTGCATTCGCTTCTTTTTAATAAACCCTCCTCTACGCTCCCTCCTGCATTCCCACTCCCAGGACACCTACTTGGCTCTCTCTCAACCTTTCTTTTTGCCTCCTCCCTTTCCCCCTGACGCCCCCGTCCTGCTTGGCAGTGCATCAGGCATGCTTGTCTGTGGTGGGCGGCTTCAGGCATTGCTTCTCCTCCTCAGTGAAAGCCTCACCTTGGCTGCTGAAAGTGTGGTCAACAGACCCGCAGCATCATCGCACCCTGGGAGCTTGTCAGCCCTGCAGAATCCCAGGCTGCACCCCAGACCTTCTCGCTCTGCATTTCACAAGGCCCTCGGGTAATTTTGCATGTGCCCCTGAAGTTTGAGAAGCACTGAACTGAGAGGTAATGCCTCTGGTTGCAACCTCCTGGGAGTAAGCGGCGCTGGATTGCTGGGGCCCCAGCCGCCGGGTCTGCTCTGAAGCCAGTCCAGATCCTCAGAGACCTGGAGATACATCCTCTGTTGGGAGTGTCCGAATCTGTGCGGATGGTGTGCAAGAGCCCCATTCCACTTGACCAGGCAACTTCAGAACGGAATAGTTTTCTAGACCGGCCCTGATTCCTAACTCATTCATTCATTATGGACATTTGACTGCTTGTTAAAATGCTGAAATGCTGCCACACCAGTTGGTAAATAGCTGCTATACTGAGCATCTTGCATCTGCTTAAATTCCTTGGGCCTTCATGCCCTCCCTCAGGATTCTTCTCCTAGGACCCCCCACCCCCTGAGTCATCCCAAGATCCAGCAACCGACGGGTTAATGCTCAGCCAGCAGGAACCTCAGGACTCCGCTCTAGAACAGCACCCCTTCCTGCTGGTCTGCGCGTGTGCCTACCTGTTGTGTGCTGTGTTGAATATCACCAGTAACTCCACCCATCCACCCACCCATCCACCCACCCACCCACCCATCCACCCACCCATCCATCCACCCACCCATCCATCCATCCATCCCTCCATCCACCCACCCATCCATCCATCCCTCCATCCCAGATACAGCACTTTAAAAAAAGCCTGTTAAATGTATGAGGATGGTAGTTAAAGTCATAGGCTCTGGGACGCCCTACCGAGGGAGAGCTTGTAGCTGGAAGAGAAGAAGGCCAAGGACAGAGGCCCAGGAAACTAATACTGAGGCCAGGGGAAGAGCGGGAAGAGCGGGAAGAGCAGGAAGAGCCCACAAAGGAAACTGACTGTCCTGACAAAGTGGTGTCATGAAACCCGGGGGAGGGGAGCCCTTCTCGTTAGGTGGTTGTCATACCATGTCTTCTGCTGCTGCACGAAACTGTTCCTCAAAGGGTGGTGTGCGGGCTACTCGACCAGAACCACCGGCGGTTCTTGGTCAGGGTCAAGCTAGACCCAAGCTACTGCATCAGGGGCTGTCCGGGTTTTGTAGTTGCGAAATGCTCACTAAAGTCCTCTGGTGAGTCTTGCGCCTGGTGGGGTTTTGGTCACTCCTGCAACTTAAAGGTGGAATGGAGGTTTTAGAAACATGTTATAGACGTGATCATGTTTATAGGCTTCAAGGAAGAATCAGTAAAGATTGGGTGGCTGAAAATTTAAGAAAGAGCAGAAGTAGCTGATGGATAATTCGCCCAAAGTGAGGACGTTCGTGTGGGCATAAGCAGGACCTGGGGGAGAGAGTGTCGGGAGAAGGAACTGGAGCGACTGGTGGGAGGGAGGCTGGGAGCGAGGTCCCAGGCAGGGGGAGACCTATAGGGAGGCCAGGGCATCCGCCTTGCGATTTTTGTCCTGCAGCGCCTGACATTTCAAGTGTGGCCAGGGAAGGCGGGCGATGGGCTGAGTCGGGGCGGGGATCCTGGCACACGTGCGGCGAGGAGCCGAGGGAGGCTGCGGGATCTGGCGAGACACGGTGTGGGTGCTGTGGTCCGGAATTTGGCTGGATGAGGATGGACCAGAAGCAGTGGGTGAGCAGCGAGGGGGGCCGGGAGCTGGGGGAATCGGTGGTGCTGGCATTTGAGGCTTCAGAACGGGTCAGCTCTGGGTTCGGGCTTGGTTAATGACCCGGGGCAGGGTGTAGCCACGGGAGGCGATGTTGCAGTGGAATGTGGAGGGCGGTTTTTGGGTGTTGGGTTTGCCATGAGTGTGGTAGGAAGGCCTGTGAGCGGGACACCAAATCCTCAGTGAATGAAGGGAAGTGACCCAAAGACCACTACCGATAGGGGAGGCGATCTCTTTATTCTGTCCACTTTTCTCTGTCATCCTCACAGCTCCCGCCTTCACCGAGGCCCCTACCGTCATTCCTGCGGGTTTTGGACATGGCCCCCATTTCTGCACTTGCTCCATCCCCTTCATCCTGCACCTTCCGCTGGAGGCTTCTTCTAGACACACACCTGCGCCGTCGCTTCCCTCTTGCTCAGGCATCTGCACTGGCTGCCCCTGGTTCCCTCGATGCTCCAAGTCTCAGTCCACAGCCTGTGCCCTTACGGGACAGGCTGGGAGTGGGACCTGGCTGTAAGGGGCTTGTGAGAAAATTGCCCACAGTGGGTGCAGACTATTCAAAATATTGGTGCTGAAGGGGCCCCACAAGACAGGGGAAGGGACGTGATTTGAAGATGAGGTTTTGCCCTCCTCAGATCGAGGGCCAGCAGCAGAGACGTGTCATTTTTCAACCCCAGGGTGTGCTTCGCGGTGACAGACGAGCAGCTCTCAGAGGGCCACCTGCTGCTGCGTTTGGCCCAGCAGTGAACTAAGGCAGTAAGTTAGAGGGTGGAAAAAGAGGGGGTGCTAAGCCAGGGCCACCTGTGCAGGTGAGGGAGTAGAGAGGAGTGAGCCACCGTGGGGTGGGGCTGGCGGAGACAGCTGTTGCCAGAGAGGGAGGCAGTGAGGACTGAGGGAAGAAGCCTCAGGGATTTGGAGGGGCCGGGGCCGGGGCCGGGGCCCGGGCCGGGCAGGAGCGGAGGGGCTCCGTTTAGAGAGGGGCAAGACAGAAGGAGACCGAGGAGGCTCAATCTGGGGACGGGCTGTGAGGCGTGGTGACTTCACGGAGAGTGGGAGACGAGGCTGTCTTTTGCGAGGCGGACTTGGGAGCCTGGGAAAAACGCAGCTGGTTTCCAGAGGAAATTGAGAAGCGGCGACTGAACGAACAGCCGGGCCGTGCCACGGCCTGGCTGAAGGTGGAAGGTCTGACCGTTGCTCTCTGCTCATCCCCTTGGCAGCCCTGGGTGGCCTGAGCCGTGGCAGAATATGAGCAGGTGACAGTGGTCCTGGGTCCCTGCCGGGATGGGCTTGTCGGGGCAGGGAGGGCAAGGGCCTTGAAGGCTCTTCCTCCTGGGGTTTGGAAGGCAGTTCACAGTGCAGCGGAGCCACTGGGAAGCCCTCCTTGCTTCCTGCTTGGTTCTGTTGTGTCCTGTGCGGACCTGTGGAGGGAAGCCCCCTCTGCTACTGTTTTGGGTGCTGGGATTCACTGTGGAGCCAGGCAGCCTGCAGGGCTGCTTGAAAGCCCTGAGTAAATACCGCTGGGAAGCTTTCAAAGGGGGAAGCCTCAGACATCCCAGACAAGCCACCTTCGAAGCCAGCTTCTAGGGGAACTTGGGCAGGGCCCAGGAGACAGGTGAGAACTGGTGGGGGGTCGTGAGGCCGTTGCTGCTTCGGGTGCGGCCGAGGACCAGCAGCTCAGCGCCCCCCGGGCCAGTTACAAAGGCCGATGCTGAGGTTCCGCCCCAGTATCTTCCTTGGAAGAGCATCTCCCGGTGATTTGTGTGCACACTAAGGGCTGAGAGGCCCCGGCAGGCCTGGGCAGTCTCTCCTTGAGGGTCGGTGCGTTTCAAAGATTTTTGGTTGTTCCCTAATTAGAGGGTTGAAAAATTCAGTCTAGATTTCGAGGTGAGTGGGAAAGCGGAGGGGAGCCGCAGCCGCGGGTTCAGAGCTGAGCGGGTGTCTGGCTCAACGTGCAGCCTGAGCGTCTTCGGAAGGCTTTGTCCAGTCCTTGGCTTCCCGGCCCTGGTCTCGGCAGGGGGCAGGGTGGAGGACTGCCAAGGATTTCAGAAGCATCTGGAGATTGTTGAAGCAAACAGGTGTCAACACTGAGGTGGAGGTGGAAGCAGCCCAAGTGTCCATCCGCCGATGCACGCATGAGCAAACTGTGGTGTATACACATAATGGACTTCTTATTCCTTCCTGGAAAAGAGGGGGATTCTGACACATGCTACAACGCGGATAAACCTTGGCATTCTGCTAAGTGAAATAAGCTAGTCACAGAAAGACACATACTGTATGATTCCACTGATAGGCAGTGCCTAGAGCGGCCAGAACCGTGGAGAAGGTGGAAGGGCAGTTGCCGGAGGCTGTGGGGAGTTTGTGCTTAATGGGCGCAGAGTTTCCGTTTTGCAAGATGAGAAGAGTTGACCCCACAACGACGTGAATATACCTAATGCTTCTTGGCTGGAAACTTCGAAATGGTTAATATGGTAAATTTATGTTATGTTATTTTTTTAAAACCACAATTCCTAAGAAAAAACCAGAGTGAGGCTGAGTGGAAACCAAGCTGGCTGGTTAGCAGGAGTGCATCTTGGGTCGGAGCTGGGAGCGGGGCAGGGGCGCACGGCAGGCGTTTCGGGGACAGGCAGCCGAGGCAGGTGACAGGCTGGGATGGAAGGGCGATGGGCACGGGCCAGGGCGGGGGCAGTCGCGGCGGGTTGAAGGGAGCAGGTCAGCGGCCGCTGGCGAGGACAGAGTTGCTGGGCTCTGTGGCACCAACAAGGACCGCGTGGACCTCGGCCTCAGGAGAGCGTCGCCCATCAGCTGGCCTCGCCCATTGCGCCCTGGCACTGTGAGGTGCTTCTTCCCGCACAGCCGCTTGATGGAGGGTGGGATGGGGCACAGGACTGAGAAGGGGGTGCTTGGAAGGGGTTGGCCTTTCCAACCTGGGCCTGAATGGAGTCTCAGGAATTTAAAAAATCAGACTCTTCTTCCCAGCCCTTTGAATTCTGCTTTTAAATATTTTTATGCATTTTCAGGGTTACAATGCTATATTCTTTTTTTTTCCCTGACTATAAAAGTGATATATGCTCATTGTAATACTTTGTACTTACTGTTCCCTCAGCCTGGAACATTCTTATCTCAGACAGCTACATGGTTTACTGTGTCCCTTCCTGCAGGTCTCTGCTCAAATCTCACAGAATCAGGGAGGCCTTTCCTACCCATTTCTTTTTTTAAACAACCTCCTCCGTAATTCCTAGCTTCTGAACCTGCCTTCTTTTTCTCCATGGTTTCTATCACCATCTTATATATGCCTGTTCATTCTCTGTCTCCCTCTCCCAGGGCAGACTTTATGTTTTGTTCCGTGTTTGTTCATTTGCCCAGCAGATCTTTCTTTTTCCTTTTTTAAAAAATTTATTTGAGAGAGAGGGCAAGGAAGGGAGAAAGAGGAGGAGAGACACATCGATGTGAGAGAAACATCGACCGGTTGCCTTCTGCAAGCACCCCGACAGGGGGCAGAATGTGGAGCCTGCAACCCGGGCCTGTGCCCCCGCCAGGAGTCGAACCGGCTACCTTTCTGTTGGCAGGACGACTCCCAACCCACTGAGCCACACCAGCTGGGGCCCAGCAGATTGTTCTTGAGCGCCTGCTCTCTGCCGGTGCTGTGCTGGGCCCTCGGGATGCGTCAGCGGACAGAGTTAATTACGTGGGGTGTGTCTGGGTGATGAGTTCTGCGACGCAGTGGAGCCGACAAAGGGCTTGGGAGTGAGGAGCTGAAGTTTTAATCGGGGTGGCTAGGAAGGCCTCATGGACAAGGTGACTGTGCTAGTTTGCTGGGGCTGCCATAACAAAGTGCCGCAAACCGGATGGCTTAAACAAGAGAAGTTTGCTGTCGCATAGCTCTGGAGGCTAGGAGTTCCAGATCAAGGTCAAGGGTCTGTGCTCCCTCTGAAGGTGTCAGGGAAGGCTCCACTCCAGGCCTGGCTCTTAGCTTCTGCCATCCTTGGCCCGTGGCCCTGTAACTGCTCTCTTCATGCGGCATCTCCCTGTGTGTGCATGTCTGTGTTCAAATTTCCCCTTTTTCCGAGGAGGTTCCCATTGGGGTAGGATTTACCCTACTCCAATATGACCTCATCTAAGCTACGTATATCTGCAGGGATCCTATTTCCAAAGAAGGCTACATCCTGAGGTACTGGGGGTTAGGACTTCAACTGAGGGATTTTGGGGGGCCATGGTTTAACCTATAACAGTGACGTTTAATCTAAAATTTGAGGGAGGCAAAAGGGCAAAGCGATGTAGGACTTGGGGGGACAGTGTTCCCAGCGGATGAGCTAGTCAGTGTAGAGGCGGAAGTGTGCCTGGTGTTGGGGGCGTGGGGAGGGGCCCGTGCCCAATGCAGAGAGGGTGGGGTGGGGGAGGGAGCAACAGGAGCTGAGGTGTGGGCCCCCAGAAGGACTTGGGCATTACTCCAGCTGATGTGGGAAGCAGTGGGAGTTTTTAGAGCGGAAGAGTGATGTGATGAGGCTTGAAATGTAAAATTTATTGCACACGAAATGAATTCAGATGGTACAAAACAAGGTAAGGTAGAATGTGGGCATCCAGCCCCGACTGGTGTGGCTCAGTGGGTTGGGCGTTGTCCCACAAACCAACAGGTCACCAGTTTGATTCCAGGTCAGAGCACATGCCTGGGTTGCAGGTCAGGTCCCCGGCTGGGGGCATGAGAGAGGGGCAACCGATTGATGTTTCCCTCTCACACTGATGTTTCCCTCCCTCCTTCTCTCCCTCCCTTCCCCGCTCTCTAAAAATAAATAAAATCTTTAAAAAAAAAATGTGGCCATCCCAGCACTCAGAAACACTGCCATTTTGGTGTTTTTCCTTTCAGACCCCACATGTAAACACATGCACACACACGTGAAGAGACGGTCTCCTACCGCACATGTTTGCTGACTTGCTTTTTTTTCACTTCACACTTCATCATTGGAACTTCGCATTGCCAGGAAGTTAGGTCCACTTCATGGTTTTATTTGATGCTGTGGATGTTCCAAACTTGGTTTAACCAGTTCCCTGCTCATGGAGAACCATATATACAGATAGATAGATAGATAGATAGATAGATAGATAGGTAGATAGATATATCTTGTTCAACTTTTGCTGTGGTACAAAACACTGCTATGAGGATCTTTGTACTCTGTCTTTACACACCTTTCTAATGGTTTCCTCAGGATACCTTCCAAGAAATAGAATTGCTGGACCAGGCAGTGTTCATGTATTCAATTTTGATATAGATTGCCAAATTGCTCCCTAGAAAGTCTGGAGTAATTGCCGTTCTCTCTAACAATGAATCGGTGCCATTTGCCTCTGCCGTCCACAATACAGGCTGTTTCCAATCATTATGATCTTGGCCAAACTCATAGGTAAAAAATACCTCCTTTAATGTTGCATTTCTTTGCTTACTCATTGGCATGGGGGTCTTCTTTGCATTCCTTTCTCTGGTTCCCTCCAGAAATCTCAGGGCTGACCTGGGAATAATTATCTCACAATTACAGGGTGGTAGCAACATGCCAGATGTCGTGCTAGGCACAGTGTGTCTTGTTTAATCTGCAACAACTCTGCTAGCTAGGCGCTGTTGTTACCCCATTT